TTCTAAACCCACCTGGTATATTCAATGTTGGGAGAGAGTGACAACAAAAGAGCATGCTCTCAGGCCTTTCTAAAGGTACAGTCCTTCTCAACAGGAGTGCAACAAATAGTTAAAATAACAATGCTGTCACACCAGGTAAATGACTAGGTCAAACAGCTTGATAAATTCATTGCTGAAATTTCCCAGGTCCCCAGAAAAGCAACCAAATTTTTGCTTACTTAGTGCTAACTCAGCTACTGAGAAGGGAACATGTACTCTGTGTACTCTGCCTTCCCCATTTGCAACTTCTCTTTAAGGAAAGCTACCTGGGAAGAAAGAGGGAAGAGATAAAGGAAATAGTCAGTTTTGCACCTGTGGGGAGGCCTATTGCAGAAGGTGCTGAAAATGAGGGGGTAGAAGCCTATTGGGGCTAGAAGATCAGATTCTAAAGCTAGGTTCAGTAAGAAGGTCAGGGTTAGGTCTACATGCCAAGTGGCTGAGGAAAGGTAGCCATCCAGACACAATAGGAATAATGATACATGGGATCCTGACTGAGCTTCGTGAAGCCCTGAATATAGATGATCTTTTCCCATTTCCTTTTATGTTCACAAAACAAATCTAGTTGGAGGATGGTGTTATAATTTTGTGACCCATTCATGGGCCATGTCTCTTTTAGTTGGTTGAGGATGGTTCTACTATGAAAAAAATTAACTTTTTCTTTTTTAAGTCATCTAACTTAAGCTGCTTCCAATTACTTAAAATAATTTAAATTGCACCCAAGGTGAGAGTCCCTGGGGATACTCATCACATTTCCCAGTATGAGCCTTTCAATAAAGTTTGTGGTCTACTCTTAAAAGTTCAGGGGCCAGGCGTAATCTCTATGACTGGGTATCTGTATAGGAATATGAGCATTGCTGATTCTGAACTACCTGCAGACACAAGTGGTAGAGAAAAAAAAGATTGACAAGATCTGCAGACTAAAGAGATAAGGACAAAGAGATGTTTTCAGAAACAATTAAACCAAAATGGAAGCCAAAAACTGCGGTTCCACAAATTAGCAATTTCAATCTGTTCCTATCTGGGTGTCTATTTTTTTTTGAAGATTTATTTTATTTACTTGAAAGGCAGAGTTACAAAGAGAGGTAGAGACAGAGAGAGAGGTCTTCCATCCACTGGTTCACACACCAGATGGCCGCAACTGCCGGAGCTGTGCTGATCCGAAGCCAGGAGCCAGGAGCATCTTCCGGGCCTCCCACGTGGATGCAGGGACCCAAGGATTTGGGCCACCTTCCACTACTATCCCAGGCCACAACAGAGAGCTAGATCAGAAGAGGAGCAGCCAGGACTAGAACTGGTGCCCATATGGGATGCTGGCACTTCAGGCCAGGGCGTTAACCTGCTGCGCTACAGCGCCGGCCCACATATAGGTGTCTATTAAGATGGGTCAAACCAATAACCAAAGTTGGTGAAGATGTGCAACCTGTTCCATTTAGAAATCCCGTTGTTGCAACCTGTCTCTCACAGATGGCTAGTAAGACAGCTCAAACAAGAAAGCAAAAGTGGAACCAAAGAACTGAACCAGAGGGATTAGAAAGGTAAAAGATAAAAGCAAGTAGAGAGAAAAGACAAAGCTGAACATCTGGTGCAAAAGAATGGGGATCCAGGGAGGGCAGAGGAGCACTCACGAATCATGGAAATGTTAAAGCAGAGGTTGAGGTGGCCACTGACCCATCACAAGGGTATTCTGTCCCTCAGTCCTGCTGAACCTAGACTTTCCCAAAGGAGAGATGTTTCTCCTTTTGTAAGTCCCTTCATGGTCACCAGGAATATGACACTGACTCCAGGGTCTTTGACTTACTTGGAAACAGAAATTAACAAGGGGCCAACATTCAGTGCAGACATATTTGCTGGAGACCTACTCTTGAGTACAAACAAGACAGCAGGATAAGAAGAGTTTCCACCAACTGACTCTCCAGTGGGAGTTGACAGGAACTTTTGTTGGGTTGGGGAGGGGTGGCCACACTTCCTAGCTCCTCCCCCTCTGCACAAAGCACTTAGGTTTGCACTCAGCTTCGTGTACTGCACAGGTGTGGTTATTTCTTTTGAATCTGATATGCTCAAAATGGCAGTTGCTCACCATTTTCTCTCCAGGAAGGTCAAAAGTCAGTTGTACTGGGCTATTCTGTGCATGGGTGAGAGGTCTATAGAAGGTGTATTTCTGTTAGAGTGTGGACACAACTTCCTTCTTATTTGTCTGGATCTGAGTGGGACAACCTGTGGTCAGAGATGGATAAATGTTGATGTGGGAGATGGATACATATCTAGTATGCCTGATTGGGAAGCTTGACTTTGTGAGTCCTGTTTCTATTGTGTCTCAGCAGGGATCCAACTACTTAAGCAGTAACCTGCCCTTTCTTAGGGTGTGCATTAGCAGGAATCTGAAATTAGGAGCAGAACTTGAACCCAAGTGATTCAGCATGAGACATGGGCATCCCAAGCGGTATCTTAGTTGCTATGCCAAATGCCCATCCCTTTGTAATTTTTAGTTTATTATTGATTTTTTTTTAATCTTGGAAGTCAGAGAGAGAGAGGAAGAAAGAGAGAATTTTCCATCTGGTTGTTCACTCCCCAAATGCCCACAACAGCTGAAGCTAAGAGTCAGGAACTCCATCTAGGTCTGCCACTCCAGTGGCAAAGATTCAAGCACGTAAGCAATCATCTGCTTCCTCCCAGGGCACACATTAGCAGGGAGCTGGATCATGAGTGGGTGGAGACGGGACTTGATTCCAGGCACTGCAGTGTGGGATGTGGGCATCCGAAGAAGCAGCCTAACCTGCTGTATCACAATGCTGGCCCAAGTATGTTTGTTTGCTTTGTTTTAATAGTCTAGGAGAATATAGTTGTTTTCTTATTCCTTTTTTGAGGGAGTAGTCATGTGAAAGAAGAATTTTCTTTTAAACGGGGGAGACTGATATCTACTTAAGTGTAGAAAGAAAGGAACAAAAAAGGGGAGCAAAGATTAAAGATTAAGATAGAATTTCGAGAATGGGTGAGTGAACAACCACAGAGATTTTTGGAAGTAGAGAGAAGTGGAGGGAATTCTGACAGACAATTCTCTATCTGCTACTTGTGGTTCTCACATCTGTGAATATGTGAGGTATTCTAGGGCACTGGTGCATGGAAAAATGTCTTACACTAGGCTCTGGAGAAAGCATGCCTAGATTGTAGCACTTGCTAATTCTTACAGCATCAATGCTGCAACCAGGGTCAATTTCATGTTATCAATGGCTTCATAATAGGCTTACTACATTACTAGACATTCATTAAGCTTCTGGTAGAAGCTGGTAATAGCACAGCACTGACAAGAATATATGAAGTCACTATCTATTGTAGTACTTTATTCTAATGTGATAAATTTATTTGAAGATTTGGCAGAAAGCACATTTTTATACTGCTTTGGTCTGAATATGTCTCCCAGAATTCATATGCTGGAGGCTTGACCCCTGCCCCTTGCCCATTGCACAGCATTGGGAAGCAAGGCCTTTTGGGAGGTGTTCAGTTCATGGGGGAATACATTGATTCATGAATGGACTATTGCCTTTATGTAAAGAGCTTGTGAATGAGGGGCTCCCTCTCCTCTGCCCTTCGGCAGTGTGAGAACAGTGTTTTCCCCCTGCAGCAGATATAGCATTCAAGGCAACATCTTGCAGGCAGACAGCGGTCCTCAGCAGGTTCTAGCACTTTGATCTTCAACTTCACAGCTTCTAGAAGTGTAAGAAATATATTTCTGTTCCCTATACAGGACCTTGTCTCAAATATTTTCAAATATTTTATTATAGCAGCACAAATAGTCTAGAGATGCAAATAAATCAAACATGGAACCTTCCAATTTTGAGTCCAGGGATTATTAGAAGCTTTCAAAGGTCCCACTTTGTCCTTACAACAAATAGGAAACAGAACAAACTAAAATCAAAACCCTTTCAAACTGCCTGCACCAAAATTGGAGAGATAGGATCATAACTGACCCAAGCAGGGACCCCTACAGGATAGGGAGAAGTGAACTGTAGCTGCTGAAGGCTCAGCATGCACTAACCTGAGAGATTAAAAAAAAACAAACAAACAAACTCCAGGGGAACCCAGTTTTGGGGAGCCCAACAGTTTTGTGAGTTTTGTCTCCAGGAACTTGACCAGGCTTTCATACTAACTAGGAGAAAAAGCCTCCTGTGCTTCCAGCTTGGGCAACAAACAAGGAATTTTTTAAAAAAAGATTTATTTATCTACTTGAAAGTCAGAGTTACACACAGAGAGAAGGAGAGTCAGAGAGAGAGAGAGAGAGAGAGAGAGAGAGAGAGAGAGAGGTCTTCCATCTGCTGGTTCACTCCCCAATTGGCTGCAACGGCTGGAGATGTACTGATCTGAAGCCAGGAGCCATGAGCTTCTTCCGGGTCTCCCACACAGGTGCAGAGGCCCAATGACTTGGACCATCTTCTAGTGCTCTCCCAGGCCACAGCAGAGAGCTGGATCAGAAGCAGAGCAGCTGGGTCTCAAACAGGTGCCCATATGGGCTGCCGGCACTGCAGGCGGCAGCTTAACCTGTTACGCCACAGCGCTGGCCCCCTAGGAATGTTTTAAAAAGATGTCTGAGAGCTCTTCTCTTCTCCACAGGGTCTGCCATTGGGAGAAACCATTTAATTCGAGCCTAACCTATAGGAATTTTATCAGAGCTTAGCAGACCTGGCAGAAGAGAAATACCCAACTCCAGCTGGTTCTAGCCTTCCATGTGGAGGAAGAAAAAAATGCCTGCTAAATCGAATAAAGTCTATTCAATTTCTTCTTACAGCTCTATCTGTTTTTGTATCATATACCTTTTTTTTCAATTAGGTCTTTTTTATATTTTATTTTATTTAATGAACATAAATTTCCAAAGTACAACTTATGGATTACAATAGCTCCCCCCCCGCCATATCTTCCCTCCCACCCACAACACTCCCCTCTCCCACTCCCTCTCCCCTTCCATTTCAATTAGGTCTTATTTATTTATCTTACATTTATCATGCCATGAATTCATAAGGAATGGGTTCCAGCAACTCAGGCTCCTTTCCATTGGTTCTGACAAAGCGGGCTTCCCTGGGTGGAGCAGGCTGATGCTTTAGTTGAACCCAGGTACCCTTCTCTTTGGCTTCCTTCTTTTTCTGATCATTTTCCTTCACACGTTTCAAGAAGCTATCTCGGCTCTTAGAGTGCTTAATGTGTTCAATACGCACATTTATTCTCTTGGCAAGAATCTTGCCCTTCGCTTGTTTGTTTACAACAATGCCAACAGCATGCTGGGTAACATTGTAGACTCTTCCAGTTTTTCCATGGTAACATTTATGGGGCATTCCTTTTTGAACAGTACCCATTCCCTTGATGTCCACAATGTCACCTTTCTTGTAAATGCGCATGTATGTGGCCAAAGGAACAACTCCATGTTTTCTGATAGGCCTGGAGAACATGTACAGGGTACCTCGCCTCTTTCCCTTTGTGTTCGTCATCTTGGCGAATTACTGGAAGATGGCGGCTCCGGCCGAAAGGATCATATACCTTTTTAAGATTTATTTTATTTATTTGAAAGACAAAGTTACAGAGAGAGGTAGAGACAGAGAGAGAGGTCTTCCATCCATGGGTTCACTCCCCAGATGGCTGCAACGGCAGGAGCTGTGCTGATCCAGAGCCAGGAGCCAGAAGCCTCTTCTGGGTCTCCCACGTGGGTGCAGAGGCCCAAGGACTATCCCCATTGATAATAGCATGAAGGAATCTCTTGTTTTAGAAGCAGTGCTCCTTAGTACATTACGTATTTTTTTTTTAAGATTTATTTTATTGATTTGAAAAGCCAACAAGAATGAATTCCTGCAGAACTGTCTGGTTGATCTTCATCATATCCATATCTGAAATTGAAAGAAAATAAAACATTCAACTCTTCATCAAATTAAAATGGTGCTTGGGCCATCTTCTACTGTTTTCCCAGGCCATAGCAGAGAGCTGGATTGGAAGTGGAGCAGCCGGGACTAGAACTGGTGCCCATAAGGGATGTTGGTGCTTCAGGCAAGGGCTTTAACCCACTGTGCCACAGTGCCAGCCCCTGCATCATAGACTTTTATGCACTGTTATTAGAGATTATTGTATCTTCCTGGAGAAGTGACTCCTTTATCATTATGTAATGCTCCCTTTTAACCTGAATCACTTTCCTTGCTCTGAAGATCTTTTAATCTATATGTGTTATTATATTTAAAATGGGCTTCTTGAAGACAACGTATAATTAGGTCTTGTTTTTTGATCCATTCTGACAATATTCTTTAATTGGTGAATTTAGACAACTGATAGTCAAAATGACTATTGATGTAGTTGAATCATTATTACCATATATGTGCTATTTTATATCTGTTATTCTTGTTATTTGTTCCAGTGTTTTCTTCAGTCTTTTTCTATCTTTAAACATTTTTGTATAATTTCATTACTGGTTTTAATGTTTATATAATATTTAATGTTTGTATGATTCTAATGTTCTTATTAAAGACTCAATATGGCCAAAACAACATTGAACAAAGTTGGATGACTGATACTATCTGACTTAAAGAAAGACTATGAATTTACAGTTATCAGAACAGTGTGGTAATGGAGAAATATTGCACAAAACGATCCAAAGAATAGACTGGAGAAATTATAAATAGACCCAAATGTATATAGTCAACTCCTTTTGACAAAGGAGCATAGCACTACAAAGGATCAAAAACAGTCTTTTCAATAAATGGCACTGAAGCAAGTGGATATTCACATGCAATAAAAAGAATCTAGATGTAGACCTTATACCCATCACAAAAATGAATGAAAATACATCTCATATCTAAGTGGAAAATACAAAGCTATAAACTCCTAAAGGATAACATAAGAGAAAATCTAGACGACCTTGGATTTGGTCGTGACTTCTTAAGTATCACATCAAAGTCATGATTCATGAAAGAAAGAATTGATAAGCTGGACTTCATTCAGATTAAAAATGCTCTACAAAAGGCATTGCTAATAGAACAAGAGGATAAGCCACAGAACAGTAGATATATTTGCAAAATAGATATCTGATAAAAGACATCCAAAATATAAAAGGAATTCTTAAAACTCAACAAGAAAACAAATAACTCATTATAAAATGGGCCAAAGGCTTTAGCAGACATCTCACCAAAGAACATTTAAGATGGCCAATAATGACACAAAAAGATGCTACACATTATATGTCATTAAGGAAAAGCAAATTAAACAGTGAGATACTGTTATGTGCCTTTAGAACGGCCTAAATCCAGAACACTGATGACATCACATGCTTGTAAAGCACATGGAGCAACAGAAACCTTCATTCATTACTGGTGTGAATGCAAAATGGTACAACTACTTTGGAAGGCAGTTTCTTGTAAAACTAAGCATACACTTTCCAAACAAATAATCTTATTTTTTAAGAAACAAGACTATTTATTTGAAAGAGTAATAGAGAAACACACACACACACACACACACACACACACAAAGACAGGGAGAGGGAGAGGGAGAGAGAGAATCTTCCATCTCCTGGTTCACTCCCCAAATGCCCACAATAGCCAGGAGTGGACCAGAATGAAGTTAAGGGTTCAAAATTCTGTCTGGGTCTCCCACATGGGTGTCAGGGCCCATTATCTGCTGTCTTCCAAGGAGCATTAGCAGGATGCTGAATTGGAAGCAGAGTAGCTGGAATTCGAACAAGCACTCCCGTGTTAAATGCAGGCATCCCAAGTGCAGCTTAACCCATCACACCACAACACCAGCCATTAAGCATACTCTTAGCATAAAATTAATCAATAATAATCTTCAATCTATCTGGAAATGATTTTAGGGTAAGATGTATGGTAAGGATGCAAATGCATTATTTTTTTTCTAAGTGGAACCATTATTGCCAAATTATTTATCAAATCCTCACTTCTTTAATATGAAATCCAAGTTTAGCTTTTCCTAAGTTTCTACATACTCATAAATATTTCTGATCTCCATTTTGCTGGCAATTTATTTGTCTATTACTCTAACAGCACATTGAATTATATTTGGCTATCTTTTGAGAGTAATTTACATTTTATTTTTTAGTTTTGTTTCTAAAAATTTCACTGCTATTCTTATACTCCTCTTTTTCCACATGAATTTATAATCAGACTGTCAGTTTCTATTATTAATGAAAAATACCCTATAAAACCTAGCAGCATAAAATAACCATCAGCTATTTTGGTTTGCTGGTGCTTTTGGGATCAAGAATTGTATAAGGGCATCACCAGCAGTGCTCACTTGGATTTTCTTGTGCCTATGGGGTTGGGGTCATGCGAAGGTCTGAGTGGGTGGATGTGGATGGCTGGCAGTTGATGTTGGCTATTATAGACTGGCAGCTTACCTGAGGCTGACAGCTATAGGACCAAACATTTGCCCTCTGCATAGTAGCTAAACAGCTGAAATGGCATATGTCCTTTTTAAAAGTGAACATCCCCACAAAATTAGCTCTGCTTCCAATCCAGTTTCCCGCTCATACACTTGGGAGGCAGCAAGTAAGGCTCAAGTAAGTGGGCCCCTGCCCCCCACGTGAGAGATGTAGATGGATTTCTTGGCTCCTGGTTTTGACCTGGCCCAGGACTGGCTGCTGTGGGCATTTGGGGAGTGAATTAGCAGGTGGAAGATCTCTCTCTCTCTCTTTCTCATTCTGCCTTTCAAATAAATAAATCTTAAAAAAAGAAAATTAGCTCAGGAACAGTTCTTTTTCTGACTTAGCCAAGAAGGTGTGCACTATCATTTAAGGATAACATGGACTCCTTCCTCTTGATGGGATTATCAAAGAATTTGTGGTCATTTAAAAAACCTACCCAGGGTTGGGGGTGGGAAGAATTTAGCCTAGTGGTTTACATGCCGCTTAAGAAACTCATATTCTCTGTCACAGTTATGTGGGTTTGATACTAGACTTCAATTCCTGAACCCAGTTTCTTGATAATGCAGGAAAATTCTAGGAGGCAGTAAGTAATGGTTCAAGTAGTTGGGTTCCTACCACCCACATGGGAGACCTGTACCTGGCTTCCAGCAATGTCCTTGGCTTAGTGCTAGACATTGTAAGCATTTGGGAAAGGAATAAGTGGATAGGAGTTTTCCCTTTGTCTGTCTATTTTTCTACCTGTGTTGTTATTTCCCTGTCACTCAAATAAAATTAGAAAAATAAAATGATAAAACTGTCTTTAAAGTAGGTTTATCCTTTTCCTGTGATTGCATCAAATGAAGAGATCAGGTTGGAGAGAGTTGAAGATTTTACAAAATTAAGTCTTCACATTAGGCACCATTTTCAAGTCTTATTGGAAAATGTTCTTTTGGAACAGCTTTATTCTTCCTTATTTACTCCTACTTATTTGGGAAACAATTATTTTGCTGTTATTTAAATGAAAAGCTTTAAATTTCTGCATTGCTGTCATGTTTTAAAGTATTTTCCTTGCCACATAGGAGCTCTGTGCTTATTTCATACATATCACCCTGCAAGACTCTTATTAATTCTAATAGCTTTTAAGTTGGTTTTCTTATGTTGTGTATGTGAAATTTGTCATATATCAATAATGACAGTCTCATATGTGTTTATGGTTTATGACGTTTATGCCTCTAATTTCTTTTTTTAACTTTTATTTGATGAATATAAATTTCCAAAGTACAGCTTATGGATTACAATGGCTTCCCCCCCATAACTTCCCTCCCACCCGCAACCCTCCCCTCTCCCGCTCCCTCTCCCCTTTCACTCATACCAAGATTCATTTTCAATTATCTTTATATACAGAAGATCAATTTAGCATATATTAAGTAAAGCTTTTAACAGTTTGCAACCACACAGAAACACAAAGTGTAAAATACTGTTTGAGTACTAGTTATAGCAACAAATTTCTTTTTTTTAAAGATTTATTTTATTTATTTGAAAGTCAGAGTTAGAGAGAGAGGGAGATCCTCCATCCGCTGGTTCATTCCTCAGATGGCTGCAATGGCCAGAGCTGAGCTGATCTGAAGCCAGGAGCCCGGAGCTTCCTCTGGGTCTCCCACGTGGGTGGAGGGACCCAAGGGCTTGGACCATTTTCCACTGCTTTCCTAGGCCACAGCAGAGAGCTGGATCAGAAGCTGAACAGCCAGGACTCAAACCGGCGTCCACATGGGATGCCGGCACTGCAGGCCATGGTTTTAACCTGCTGTGCCACAGTGCTGGCCTCTCTAATTTCTTTTTCTTTACTGTTGCACTGTATGGAATCCCTAAAATAGTCTTGATTGTCAGGAGGAAAAGAGAGTTGTCCTTTATATGTTTAGTAATGGTTCCAATGTTTCATGCTTGGTGTATTTGCTATCTCTTCCTGGTGAATATCATCTACTAGTCAGGATTCTTAGTTATACACACTCAAACCAGTTTAAGAGGATTTCAGGCAGCACACAGCATTTCTATGTGGCCCCAGAAATAGGGCTGGGATGCTGCATGGACATCAACAATGCAATTTGTG